TAAATAGAAGCCAAAGTGAATAAAATTCCCGACTCAATTAAATATTTTCACTTTCATATTTCGTGCTTTTTACTTTCCACTGCATTAACTCTTCTTTTATACGGTATCTACTTGTTTTTTTACCTAGACTTCTGTTGTAACCAATCCATCTCCATATTAAGGGAGAAAGTTTAATTTTTATACCTCGGATAAATTCTCTGCTTTAACCGAATAGTGTACCGAAAAGTAATTATGGAATTGAATACATAAATCTGGGGCAGCTTATTTTTACTGGATATGCTATAAATGTCTTCATCAGACCTTGTTGACTTTGTGGCTATAGTACAGTCGAGAATAACCAACCTTATTCCCATTATTCTTTATTTATTGAAATTTTTTACAGGTTAAAGTGGACCGATTAAACGCTAATCTGGAGAAACTGAGGGAAGCCAAGCGCCGTGGTCTAAAGATTCGAGTTAAGCTACCAACTCCCTGTGCGTCCTCTTGTAATTTAGTAAACACAGCATCAAGTAATATTGCCAGTTGCAAGCCTCAGTCTACTGAGAGCTCTTGTGCTTCATCATTTCCCAGGTCATTTGAAGAGGAGCGTCTTGTTTCTGATGATGATCTCAATCTTCTGTCTGCAAAAATACTTAGAGCTGAAATGCTAAATAATGAGGTAAATTTATCTAGTCTTGACTGATTTTTTATTTAGGCTACATAGACTTGCTTAGTTCTGAAATAAGTTAATCTTCTTTTATAGATGTATCCTTAAATTATGCATATATCACCCCTATTTTCCTTCAGCTTTTGTTTAGGTCTATTATAAGTTAACTGCATTATACAGGAAGTAACAAATACGGTGCTTAGAGCCGCCTTGTATGATCCTATCCCATGATCTCATTTTATGTAAAAAGAGTTATATGTTATTGCTTTTCTATTTGTTTTCCAAATGTTATTATTAGTTTTATGTTTTAGATTTTTTATAAAACTCCTATGGATATCTGGTTATTTGGTACATAATTTGTTGATTGCAGGCTAACCTGGAATGATCAAAATTCAACAGGGTTTAGACGATGACTAGCGTTATGTTTGATTTTATGCACTTCCTCTTTATCTCTAGATTTGAGGATACAAGGGAGATGAAAAAAGACAGCCGACACTTCAAAACTTATATAACTCTGAAACTATGAGCCTCTTGTTTGGAAAAGCAGCCCAGCGAATTTTTTTAACGATAATTGTGCACAGCTTTAGTCGGATGACTACACTTAGAAGCCAGTTAACTCCTCTTATTTTGCTACATCATAACGCTTAACTGAAAGTGGTGACCTGAATCACCTTATATACATATACATAATAGTTCCACATTATCTCTGATGTCGTAATACTGATGTAATAGTAATCATTTCCATGCCATTATTCGTTCTCGATGGATCTTATCTAAGTTATGTAGTTGTTCGAATTATAATAATGACAGTCAAAAACTTATAAGCCAGTCTATCAATAATTATGTCCCTAAATCTCTACTTTAGATAGTTTGGCACACTGAATCATACTAATTTAACTGTCATGAACTTAAAATTAGACATTCTAATTGAATAGGTTTCTAAACTGTCAGCAGAATATGGGCCACTTAATTTTTTTTAAACTTTCTGTATTTAACATTTAAATTCACTACAATCAAATAGCTAGAAGGCCTCTGCCATTCATTTTCACTCATTCTTGTTTCCAAAAGGGTCTTTTCGTCCAGACTAGGTGCTATTTCCACCTCGCCTTCGATCCATCTTCACTCCCGACAAAATTTGGCTATGAGTGTCATGAGGCCATTTTATCACTCAACCACAGAGGAGTGGCTGCCAGGTTCCATTACTATCTACTACGGTTCTCTTTTTTCTTATATAATCTACTGGTAGTTTCGAAACTTTTAAAAATGGAATACAGAAATACGGTTGAGTAATTGAAAATATGATTTTGCATCAACGAAAATTTCACTACCAATGTGAATTAAGAGACCTGCCTTGCCCTGAAATTAACTCCGCTCTGTGGCCAATGGCCATCCGTGACTGTCTGAATGCTAAAGTATCCGTTCCACACGCATGACCCACTTTTGAATCCCGTTTGTAGTTGT